AACATAGCCAAGTACACCTGGCTGGAGAGGTCTTAGACTCTAGATAAGAACCTACTTTTGTTACTTCCCTAGACCAATGCAATTTCTTATTATATTCTAAATATGTATCCTTATATGCACAGAGAAATGTGTCTCTCACAACTCATCAAAGAAGCTTCTTTTTGCAACACAAAGAGACTATTACAAAGTTCCTGGTACCTCCCTCCTTGTCTTGCCTTGTGATTTTAAATCATGTACTAGTAAATTACTAGTGAATGGTGTAATTACATACGCTTTAATAGACTTAAGCAGTGAATGGTAATTTCTCTCTATAAGTACCCAATTTACTATAGAAATGCTAAATAAGTGAGCAGAGAGGACTGGAACTGGGGAATTATTTGCTAGACAAAATAAAACACAGATGTATAAAGAAATTGAGTATGTCTGAACTGGTGAGAGTCAGCATAGAAAGTGCTCTCGTTTCATTTGAAATGTCCTGTTTCAGAGACATCCCTCAACATAAGAGCAAAAGATCCATTTTAATGGCAATGATTATTTCTCAATAACATCATGTTCCATTGAGATTAAGAACTGTGAGTCTGCAAATTAACTCAATTTGAGAAGGGAAATAATGTAAGACCACAGAAGGATTTTACTTTGCAAGACAAAACATGAATCTCAGTAGTATTCAAATAGCTCTTAGGGAAAAAATTCCTCTTGTGTCTGCAAAGCAGCATTTTTACTGTGAAAACTAATTTGCCAACATCAGACTTGTACATTCTAAGGTCCTTCCAATGTAACAATAACAATAACTCACCCTAAAGCTTCACTTACCTTGGTAAGTGAGGGAAATGAGAGACTGAGCTGGAAGACATGAAGACATTAACCCACCCTAAAGCGTCACTTACCCTGGTGTATTTGCTCCGGTTTGGGGACTTGAAATCTCAACACAAACTACAAATTAGTTCTTCATAGGTAGACTCACAAAGACCAAACTCTTAAGAGAGGGGTGTTTGTCCACACATGAGGAGATGGCTCAGTGGTAAAGTGGTTGCTGCGCAAGCATGAGGACTTGAGTTCAGATCCCCCAAAATCTTGTAAAGCTGGGCATAGTAGCATATGTCTGTAATCCCAGCAGAAGCTCATGGGCCAGTCAGTCTCATGTGCACAACAGCTAACAAGAGAAACTGTCTCAAACAGGGTGGAGGGTGAAGGCCAATGCCCCAAGGTTGTCATCTGACCTCTACGTATGTGCTGTGGCATGTGGGAACCATCATTAACACTCATGAACACACATCCAAACACATACCGCACATTAGAAAACAAAGGAGGGAAATTCGACACATGCCACAACATGGTGGTTAGCAGGGACTAGAGGGCAGAATGAGGGTTTGTTTATGTTTTGCAAGAGGAAAAGAATGGACAAAGAGGACGATTACATGACAGTGTGGATATGGCTAATGCCATTGAAAGGTGCTTATGCTTAAAATGCTAAGACACTAAATTGCAATATACATATATATATACACATATATTACCAGTTTCTAAGATTAAAACTCCCTGTTTTTAAAGCATACAGAAGAACATATTTGTCACAGGGGATTGAATATTTGCAATGGTATAACTATCCTCAGATTTCTATATGACAGAGCAAAGCTAAATCATAAATGGAAAGATGGCTCAAGGGCTTAGGTTTTAAAGACAGAGCAGTGAGTCAGACATTTAGGGCACCTGTCCAACACAGATGGCACAGCCGTCTCACAATGGAGACAGATTTGTCAAAAGGGCCAGACCACATGGATTGTGGAGGCCAGGACTCCCTGTATTCACATTCACAATAAGAACACTGCCAGGGGGTCCTGGCAAAGGCCCTCTCTAGCTGGATCTGCCAAAATCTGTCTACTTTTCTTTCTTCTAAGACTGACCAACTGTTTTTGGATTAACCTAATCTTTCTCTAGATAGGCAAATATATTCACTTATATCCAGTAAAGCTTTCAGATCCAGAAGGTATTCTGCCTCGAGAAACTTTACAGATGAAAGCAAAGATTGTTGGTGTCACTTCAAAAACTCCCACATCATCCCCTGCCATACCCCAGGATGTGCCTCTCCTGCCAGGGGCTGGGCCTGCAAGAAGCCACTGAATAGAGCACCCATGGTCAGCCTGACCATCATCATCATCCAGTCACTGTCAAAACCTGGCTGCAGTCCCCAACAGCATTAGGAATCTAAGAAGTCCACAGATTTCAGAATATAAGCTTGGAGGACACTAGTATAAAGCTGTCATGCGAAGCTGTGAAGCTTCCCAACTGCCACTCAGAGAGTCTTGGATTGGAGCCCCATGAGTAACTGCTGCCTGCTGTGAGGACCTAGCTGCTTCTTTTATCCACAGTAAAACCCTCTGGGAAATCAACCTATTGGAGAATGCCTGGGACCACAGTGGGGTGAGTGTGCTGAGTGAGGCCCCGAAACAGCCAAAGTGTGATCTGCATGTACCTGGGATAGGACTTTGATGAGGAAACCCAAGCTTATCTGATCTCTGAAGAATAGAGAAATCTCTACGTGACAATCCTAAGCAGTATGTAAGAGAAACAGAAATCAAATGTGAAAACTCCATTCCAAGGACCCTGGGTGTTCCAACCCAAAACACAGGCAAAGGTAAGGAAGTGGGCCCCGTACTTTGGCCCATCTGTGCATAAGAATTAAAGATAACTGAAATTCTAATGAGGTATGATTTCTCTGCACCCAGTTCAGGCAGATGGCATTCTTCATTTGCTAAGAGAGGTCATGAAGTCAGTTGAGGGGTGGGGGGTGGGGAGTGTGAGAGTGGAGATGGGGAGGAGGTTGTAATATAATCAAAATACATTGTATGAAATTCTTGAGTCAATAAAAAATTTAAAACTCCAGTTTTAGGGGTTCCAAAACCCTCTTCTGGCCTCTAAGGGCAACAGGCATGCATGTGGTGATACACATTCATACATGCAGGCAAATACTCACTCATGTAAAATGAAAATAAATAATAAATCAATTTAACACATTAATCAGAGCAAGGACACGAACTAGGTAGTTGCTGTGGGGGTGTGGGGAGATTGGCAGATCTTGTACAGACAAAGGAAAGTTCAGTGACCATCTACACTAGAGATGGAACTGTCAGGCTGATTTTCCCAGAGGCTACTGTCCTAGATCAGCCATTTACTAATTTTTTTGAGCTGGGCTTTTATTGCAGTCTGTTACTTCCTAATTCCTGTCCAGATGCATCAATGGATTGAAGCAATCCTGTCTCTCCCAAGGTTAGTGGCCATTCCTGGGTCTAACTGGTCTCTAGATAGAGCTCAGCCTTTCACATGGTCCACAAAGGCCTTTGTGAGAGTCCTTTTCTTGTCTGTGGAGATTCATTTCTGACCATACACCCATGGGACTGTTCTCACTTGGCTAAGGACATTGCAAGCTTAAGAAACAAGGTAGGGTTTACAAACTGTCCTCTTTCCTTCATTGCCTTGCACGACCTAGGGTACTTCTGCTAGTGCTTTCGGACTCCTGCCACGCCTCCCTTCCTCGGGACACCTGTCACACCCACTCTAGGAGCTGCCCAACCTCCTCTGTCCTGTTTAAGTGCAATGACTCTCATCTGTAATACTTTGCGTGCTACAGGATAAACTCTCTTGTTTTCTAATTATTCCCTTCCACCTATCCAGACTGGAAGTTATTTGAAGACAAAGACTATCTTCTCCACCCCAGATATTTGGCACCAACTTGGAACTGGCTTATAAAATCTACTTGCTGAATGAATAAACAAAGATTAAGATCCAAAATTTCACACGCTAAATCCAGTGCTTTTTCTCTTCACGTCACAGCTTCCCAGAGTATCACTTCAGGGCAGAGGACATAATAGTGATGCTATAAGGAGATTAGTGTCTTATCCCTAGCCCATCAATTTGAGAAAAAAAAATGATAACAAAATTCTAAGTCACTATAGATTTTAGGAGACTATACTACTAAGACCATACTAGGGTCTGGGAAGACGGCTCAGCAGTTAAGAGCACTTGCTGCTCTTGCAGAGGACCCAAGTTCAGGTCCTAGTACCCACATCAGGTGGCTCAGAATCATCTTTAGCTCCAGTTCTAGGTGATCTGATGCCCTTTTCTGGCCTCCATAGGTACTGCACACACATGGTGGACATACAGACAAGGAGGCACATACCACGTACATAAAAATGACTACTTTTTTTGGTTTTGTTCTGTTTTTGAGATGGACTCCTTGTATCCCCAAATGACCCAGAACTCATTATGTAGATGAGGCTGGTCTTGATCTCACAGAGCCTGCCTCTGTCTCCTAAGTGCTAAGCTTAAAGGTATATGCCACCATGCCAAGATCAAATAAGTATTTTTTTAAAGGCTATACTGTATCCTTCTCCAACTGCTTACTATATACAGTGCAAAGATAGCTAAAACACTTATTGTTAAAGTTAGCAATAAGGCATAGTATCCTTTTAGTACATTACAAACATACTTAAGAATAATCTAAAAAATACTTTATATAAAAGTGTACTCATATCAATCAGTGTCTTAATTCTTATTTGAAAGCAAACCCAATAGGAAAATTTTGTTTTTAATATCCTCTTCCTATCTCCGAGAGGACCTAGAAAATAGAAGGGGTAGGGATAAAGATAGTTCAGTGGTAGGGTTCTTGCTTAGCATATATGAAGTCCTAGTTTCCATCCACAGTACTGGGGAGATTAGAAGGGAAGGAGGGAGGGAAGGAAGGAGAAAGGGAGGGAGAGAGTTTTCTTTCTATAGTCCCCAGAAAAGGTTTCGTTATGAAAGAACATGAAAATTGGTAACAATGTACTTTCATGGTTTTCTTAAATTAGCTTTGTTGTCCTGAATTCTTTTCACAAGAATTTTCAGCATTATCATTTTTAGGTAGCAGCAATCCAACATGTGCAGATTTTGTTTACAGGTCTCTAACCAATAACTTCCATTCCCCTACCAAAATAACAACAGTGAAACTAGTAAGTCCAGGAAATTGCAACAACATATTTATTGGAAATGAACTAGGCATCACATAAGCCTGATGAAGATGTAAAATGAACAAAGCATAACTGATGTAACATGTTTTAAAAATCACAAATGAAAAAGAAAATTCATTTTCACAAGAAAATACTGTATCCAATTCATGTTAATCTCTGAACACCATAATACAACTCACTCTCCTGACTCTAAACATCTGGAATATACTTCATTTTAAACTGAGAAACAGAAAAGAATATTTCCTTCTACAACTTGAAGCTCCCTCAGCTACCACCAGTGTATCACACCCATAAGGCAATTTTCATTACCAGACAGTAAGAAGATGGTGTATACGCTCTAATCCTGATAAAATAAAAGATCACAAATGCAGAAGTTTTTAGGAAATCCAAGCAACAGATCGACTAATGGCCCTCAACCAAATGTAGAATCAGCATTTTCTAGAATCTGGAAGCTATATCAACTTTCCTCAGTAATAAGACTTCATTGTCTTGGGAGAAACCCCATGGATCCAAGGACACACTGATCTCCAGAAAGTCATTACATTCAAATGGAATAACAGCATGGGAGAATTTGCAGATGCTTGACATCTCAACAAGGTTTTCTGAAACTTTCAGGCCTTGACTCTTGCACTCTATAATAAAATTTTAGCTTGTATATAACAAACTCTCTTTGAGGAAAGTCCCCCCCCCCCGCGAAAAAAATCCAACTACGAAAAGACAAGAACTGCAAAAAGCAGTGACGATAAATACTGTCTGGAAAGGCCCAAACACTGCATCAATTTTCAGAGGCACTACTGCGAAATCATCTCTGCAATGGAGAATGCACTGTACTTTGAAAATTACTTTCCATCCATGCACCCAGCATGCATGAATGTCCTCTAATAACCTGTCTGTCATGAGCGGAAGTCAGGGACCCTCCAAATACAGAATTGAAGACTTCAACTGGGTTGGAGGCATTTCCTTTGTCTTCCAGTGGCTTTACACAGTTTGTATTTTAAACTTTTCACAGTTCTAAATTTTCACATGAAAAGAGAAAATGATTAAATGGTTTTTGTCAACTGTGCAAAAGATAAAAAATATCTCAACACAGATATCCTCTTTGGAAAAATCTATCATAATTTTATTTCCTTATTCTAGGCTGAAGTTAGAGAGAGCTACATTAAAGGTTCTCATAATTTTGTGGAGAAATAGCAAATCCTGTCACTTGGGAACTATAGCACCAAGCGACTGTTCACAACTATAGAAGTCACTCAAGTAAAGAGGTAAAAAGCTGCTCTAGGCAATTCAGGTGCTTAATTATGTCTTTGAGGCCTGATATTTTGAGTTTGAATATCAATGCTGGTTTAATCCACTATAAAATTAGCAACATCCCTCTTCATCGTGAACTCAGCCTTAATCTCCTGCTTTCTCCACATGTGTGTCTAAAGCAAAACCTAATCAGACTCAAAACCTATGAAGATATGGCATACTGGTTGGCACAAAGCAGGCAGGGCAGAAGGGCCTTCTTAAGAAACCCTCAGGGGCCAGAGAGGCTGCCAGTCATGTCCCTCACATAGACATGGACACGTAAAGCTATAGACATGTGTCCACCTTTCCACCATTGAGTGAAACATGCTATTCTTTGGAGAAAAAAAAATACATTCATTTTTTTCAAGTATATTTCAATATACAAAGATCCTCTAGATTTGTTTCACTAGAAAGACAAAAAGATTTCATATGTGTCCAAGGGGAATCTCACTTGAACTTCCCTTTGGTGTGGATTTCATGAAGTTCTGACTAAAAAAAAATTGCTCTAAACACGTCTACTCATTTTATTTGAAAGCACAAATCTTTATGTCCCGTTTTATATATATGCACATTGTCGGCAATAACCAGAAGAAAACAGTCAGGATGTCTGTAAGATGGCTCAGCAGTGGAGTGCTCCGAGGAGAGCAATGTTGCCTGCTGACCAGGAGCTCAGCACCAGCAGTGTCCCACCAGCTTCCTGTCCAGCTTGAACCAGCAACACACAGGCATCTCCTCTCAGGAGTCTAAGAACACTCTCTACTGAGGCCACATCTGAAACTATGGCTTGGTTCCTGCCTTGGCTTTGTCATTTGGGGTGTAGGCTAGGTCCCGCAGCAGCGATTCACAGTTGGCCAGCACATCTGCTGGCAGCAGCTTCCGGATATGCTCTACTGTCTTTTGATAAGCCATTTTATCTTGCTCCAAGGTCCGGATTAAGGTCTTCATTTTGGTCTCTCTGGTCAAAAGATTTTCTAGGTTGGATTCCAAGGCCTGTATTTTAGCATGAGCCACCTGTTTGGCAAGAAAAAAAAAAATCCTCCAAATCAAAAATTTGAAGAGTCTGGTTCTTTATTACAGTAATAGCCATCCCTTATAAATGTTATTAGCTAATCATATCAGATAGGTTAATAGAATATAATATGAAACAAATATTTTAAAAAATACATTCTTTTTTTCAAGCATATTTCCATATGCAAGATGCTCCCTGAAATGGAAATATTTTAGGTTGCTCAATAACATAAGTAAATACTGGGGACTGGGGACAGGAGTAGGGTGCTTATACATCAGGGATTCAAACTCCAGAAACAGCAAATATTTAGTGTATCTGTATATACACTATACAATATAGATGTGTGTATGTGTGTATATGTGTGTGTGTGCACATGTTCTGCTCACATGATTTGTCTCTCACTGATGACAGCAACAACACTCTATATCACCCTATGATGCTGGGGTCACCACTCATACACACACTGGTGTTCCCCATGTGAACAGGGTCTGGCCTGACTAAAGACAGAACAAGGTATTCCTGACTCTGCCTATTTCTTGCCCTATGACTCAGTTTTGCTTATAATTTTGGAGGCTGCAAGTCTACACAACCTGCTCATGCTGCTGCATCATACAGCATCATGGTGTGAGCACAGGGAGGAGGGAGTGCTCACAAAGTAAGTCTCCTAGCTAGCTTCAGCTGTCAATGCACACAGCCCAGAGTTATCAGAGGGAGTCTCAATTGGAAGATTGCCTCAATCAGACTGGCCTATTGGCATGTCTGTGAGACATTTTCTTAATTGCTAATTGATATAGAAAGGCCTAACCCATTGGTACCATCTGTAGGCAGGTGGTCCTGGGCTACTTAAGAAAGCTACTTGTGCAAGGCGAGGCGGCACATGTCTTTAATCTCAGCACTTGGGAGGCAGAGACAGGTGGAGCTCTGTGTGCTTGAGGTCAGCTTGGTCTATATAGTGGAAGAAGGAAGAAGGAAGGAGGAGGAAGAAGGAGGAAGGAGGAGGAAGGAGAAGAAGAAGGAGAAGTAGAAGAAGAAGAAGAAGAAGAAGAAGAAGAAGAAGAAGAAGAAGAAGAAGAAGAAGAAGAAGAAGAAGAAGAAGAAGAAGAAGACGAAGGAGAAGGTGGTAAGCTAACTGTATTCTTATATGGCTTCTGCTCTGTTCCTGCTTGAGTTCCTGCCCTGACTTCCCTCAATGATGGACTGTGACTAGGAAGTGTAAGCCAAATAAACCCCTTCCTCCACAAGTTGTTTTTGCTCATGGTGTTTATCTCAGCAACAGAAAGCAAGAGAACAATAAGGAAGGAAACCATCCAAGTGACTAGTGGTTTGGATGGTTCTGCTCTTTGGTAAGAATTAAGTGGGATGTTAAGAAAATTCCCTTTGTCCATTCTGGGGTGGCACCTTCTGTAGCCTAAGAACCTCCCAGTAGGGTTAGCTTCTCTAGATACATATACTCTATCTGTTTCTACAAGTGTGAGTACTGAGTGAGAACTGCAAAGATGACTACCCAGAACAGCCAATGTAAAGTCTGCAGCAACGAAGAACCATCATTCATGGAAAGCAGGTACAAATGCCTTGCCTGATATGGGACTCCTCAGTGGACCATTATTGAAATAGCCAAGTCATAAGGAGCAGTATAACTACTTTTATTGTAAATAAACCATGTGGCTTATTGTTCAATAAGAAAAAATATTTTAAAAGATTTTTCTTTTTTTAAAAAATAATTTTCTGGGGCTGGAGAAACGGCTCAGTGGATAAGAGCACTGGCTGTTCTTGCAGAAGACCTGGGTTCAAATCCCAGCATCTACATAGTGGCTAACAACCATCTGTAACTCCAGTTCCAGGGAATCTGACACCCTCTGCCAGCACTTCATGACACAGGTACACTTACATGCAGGCATAATACTCATATACACAAAATAAAAATAAATCAATAAAAAAGAATTTTCTATGAGCAGAAGGTAATGTAAGGCACAGTGAAGACCTTTGTCCACGTGGACCCCTCATTTTCACTCTATTTCTCTCCTGGCTTGTCTTCACAGAGGACTTAATAGAAGCAGAGTTTGGAGGCTTTCTAGATTGGTGGCAGGTACAACACTGGGAAGTAGGGGATAAAGGTGTGTCTGAGTAAAATCCAAAGAGCCTTTAGGAATGCTGACTCTGACAGCACATCCTCCCCAGGAGATTCACCTGCTGCTACAGTGTGGACTCAGAGTGACTGTGTCCCCCAAAGGCTCCTGTGTTGGAAGCCTCGGAGTGACCATGTTACACACTGGTGGGATCTTCCAGAGGCAGGCCGAGTGGGAGGTGCTTAGGTCACTGAAGATGCCGCCCTTGGGTGAAATTAAGATACTTTCCACAGGACCATACTTAGTGCTTGTGAGACAGCTGTTATCAGAGAGCAAGACAGGCCTTTCCCAGAATCTGGATTCGTGCCTCATGAGCACCTCTCCTTCTATCACATGCTCCCACTGTGGCACCATGTCCATGTGGCCAGGGACCTTGTCCAGAAGGAGCAGCATACTGTTCACACTTTCAGCCTCCAGAACTTTGACCTAAACCAATCTCTTCTTTGTAAGTGACCACAAGCCTCAAGCATTTCAGAGACTAATAATACCTGGCAATCTCCTCTTTCCTGATCATTTCTAAGCCCTGAGGGCACAGATCCAGAGCTAACATCATACTAGTCTGGGGTACAGAATATTACTTTATAATAAGCTGATTATTGTATTTGTGTCTAATTATAAATAAATTATAAGAAATTACTTGGGTATTCCTTCAGGAAATTCCTAAATGGCAGGACTATGTGTCGTAAGTTCACTTTCACATTATCCTGAAACATCTCCACCTCTTCCCATTTCTGTTTTGCTCAGGACAAACCTCATCACACCCAGACTTTTACAAATGTCTTTTTCTAGCTGCTTCCCTTCCCTCTTACTCCACCCTCATCAGCCTTTGGTTTCTATTACTTTTTCTAATGCAAGGCTCAAAGAGATGCTTCCTTCTGAAAAGAGACATTTAAAGCCATGCTCTTAGACTCAACAAAAAAAAAACAAAATCGCTTGTACTCCACCCTCCACCACATTACCTTTCCTTTCCCTAGCATCAGGCCTGACCTGATACCAAGCTAACTCTGCCCTGCCACATCCTTCTGATTGATGAAGCCTCCTGCCAAAGGCAACATAAAGACCCTCCTCAGGCATTGCCCAGTCCTTCAGAGTCCAGCCCAAGCTCAGGTACCTAAAACTTTCCTAACTTCTCGTTTTTAATTCTTCCTTCCCTGAACTTATCTGAATTTCTATAAAATCCAAAGAAATGGATCAATATTCTGTTTGAATTGCTCTTCTACTAGTTTGTGAGCATGCATTGTTCTACCCTAAGTGACATTTAAGTTCCTAAATACATCTGTAGGCCCCAAAGCACATGAACCCAGTGAGATACACAAGCCCTTGGTCTGCACTAGTTCAACCTGCATACACATCCCCATTGCTCTGGGTTGTTCTATGCATGCAGGGACTGCATGCACATCTTTGGTCCAACCTTTATTTGCGTACCTGAAGTTTTTCTAAGAGGTCCATGTTCTGTCTTTTCAAGTGGTTGTTGGCTCTCTCCAGTTTCTCCAGAGATTCATTATCCTCACAAGCATAGGACGATTCCTGAAGCTCGTCCTGCAACACGTGGTACTCCACCTCATAGGCATGTAGCTGTTTGGAAATATCCATCTCAAAAACCTGTTGAAGCACCATAGGTTAGTCTGGACTTCGGTGTCTACACCAAGATATAATCCATGTACACTGGTAGACTTCATGTTTATTTCCACACCCTGAGAAGGAACTTTAAGCATACCAAGAGGAAAAATAGGCATGACTGTCTAGAAAAAAATAAATTAGATATAGACTCAACTTTCAGTACAAGGTCACACAGAATATTTCTACACAACTGAAGCAGCCTAAGAGTGAGACCAATTCAATAAACTAATGTCCAAGAGTATTTATAACCAAGATAACTGTAATCTAGTAACTGACTCCTGAAATGTAGTATACCAAACTAAACACATTTGTTGTTAAGCAATTATTATCTATGTCAGAGATAATCATTGCTGATTAGTAAGCAAAGGTGCATGGGGCAGTTTACAACAAGAGTTCAAAATTTGTCATTCTGAACTACATGGTAATGGAGCACAAAGGTTTTAATACATAACCTTATTCATTTGCTATTCCCTGTGAGCCTCTTTGGAGTCCTTTTCATATTCTACCACACAGACAATCCTTAAGGCTATATATCCTGAGCACAGGCCAGAGATGTAAGACTTCATTAGGGTGACCGCAACTGTCTCAGTCCAAAAAGCACAGACATTAAAGACAAGCAAACTCCCTTAGTCTAGATTCGCCTAGGGAGAAGTAACGCAGAAACTGAGGCACGACCCATGGGTTATACTGACACACACACACACACACACACACACATATATATATAGACACACACACACAACTTGTTCTGCTTAAATTGGTAGATTTATTAGAAACACACAAATATTGAAATTTTAATAAGGATTTTTATAGTAACGTCAACAAACAAGCATCAACCTTTTTGTTCCCTACCAAAAATTGACATGATAGACTATTATATATAATTGTGAAAATTACTATGCAGATCTGTATTTACCTACATGGAAAAAGTGTCAAATATTTTGCAGATTTTGCCTCTGTGTGTGTACGGTATATGTGGCATTTGTGCATATATGTGTACATGTTCATGCATGTGTAGGCCAGAGATCAATGTTGGCTGTCTTCTTCCATCACCCTCCACCTTATTTTTTTTTAATTTTTTCATTTATTTTTATTTTATGGGTGTGAGTGCATTGCCTGCATGTATGTAAGTGCAGTTGTATCATGCAATGCCCATGGGGAACAGAAGAGGGAGTCAGATGCCCTGGAACTGGAGTTACAGACAGTTGTTAGCTGCCATGTGGGTGCTGGGATTCAAGCCTGGACCCTCTGCAAGAAAAGCCAGTGCTCTTAACCACTGAGCCATCTCTCCAGCCCTCACCTTATATTTTGAAACATGATTTCTCCCTGAACCTGGAGCTCACCGACTGGCTTAGATTGGTTGACCAGCATAGGAATCTGCCTCTCACTATCTCCACAGCACTGGGATAAAAGACTTGTGTTACCATGACTGGTTTTTATGTGGGTGCCAGGGATCCAAACTCAGATCCTCATGGTTATGTGGCAAGCACTTTACTGACTGAGCTATCTCTGCAGCCCCTATTTCATAGATATTTTGACTAAAAGTCAGGTTATACAATAGCATATTTAATATGATTCTGCTTAAGTAACACCATATACATAGGTATGTAAGCATAGAGATATAGTGCCCATAAATAAGGATCATCTTCCAATATCTGCAGTCTATTCCACAGTTAACTCTATTCCTGGCAGTAACCTATAAAGTCGGGAAATTCCTTTATTAGTTGTATTACTATTTTGAGGTTTCTGATTTTTTAAAGAGGTAATATATGATTTCAAATCTCCAAAGGCACAATCTATGACAGCCTGAGAAGTCAAATAGATATTTCTACCCAGGCATGATGGTGCATGCCCAGAATCCCAGCACTTCAGACACAGAGGCAGAACAAGTTCAAGGCCAGCCTAGGGTACCCAGTGACCATGTTTCAAAACACAGAAGCCAAAAAAAAAAAAAAAAGGTATTTGCAAAGAACTGACAAGTAAATGTATAAGCAAAAAAACCTAGAGATTTTAACAAATAGAAACTATTGATAAATATTTGCTTAACAATCTGCTATGTAATAGACAGTATATAAGAGTTCATAGAATGAATGAGAGTGCATAAAATAATACACACAGGAAAACACAGTAGGATCAACTGTTGCTGGTCTCTTTTGCAGGGAAGAAGATTGAATGCTTTTAACTTATCAAGTCGCACAGCCAGAAAGTGGCAAGGGACCACAATCAACTTCAAATTCCTTTTCTTTTTTCGAAACTCTCTTTTCTTCATGCTATCCTAAGTGCCTCCAGAAATGTAGTGCTATGACCAGTACTCCTAGAACATGATGGTGGTCTTCAGCTTGTTTCTCTCACCTGGACAGCACAAATCTGTAACACCTGCTCACTCACCTGATTCCCAGAGGAGCCAGGGACTAGGCACATGCTGTGTTAGCTAAATTCCCCTTACTTCACACATCAGTTTTCTGCTCCTTAACCCTGTCCCCAGAGCCCTGTGAACTGCATGCTCCAATAGCTGGTTGGCTTACCATTGGTTTTGGCCACCTGGGGGAGCTGGTAGGAGACAAGAAGGTGTGGAAGGAAGCAGCAGAGGTTTTTCTACTCTGACTCTTCCCTACAGAGTTCACCAAGAACACAATACCAGCCAGAGAAGCCCCTCCTCCCAGTTTTAGCAGGTCCTGGTGACAGGAATACATCCTCCACTTGTCCCACAGCACCAAAAGTGGGGACAGCTTCTCTGTGTCTATCTATTGGACACCTGGATATCTATGTGGCGTGCCCTTAACCCATCCTGCCCATCTGTGAAAAGGTGGCTTCATTTGAATCACTGAATCACTGACACAAATGACTGTCTCTTTGTTTAAGCATCCCCAAACTCAGATCAGTGCTGTCCATTTTGAAGCTGAGAAAACTAGAGTTTGGGGATATTAGAGTGATGAGTAGAAGTCAAACAGCTACAAACAAAACAAAAAGAAACAAAAAACCTGGCATGTAATAATGTCAAGTAAAAAACAAAACAAAACAATAACAACAACAAAAAAAAATAGCTTCAGCAGTTAAGAGTGATTGCTACCCTTTCAGAGGATCTAAGTTCATTTTCCAGCACCTATATCAGGTGCTTTACAACAGCCCATAACTCCAGCCCCAGGAGATCTAATACCCTATTCTGGCATCCTTGGGAATGTGTGCATATCTACACATAGACACGGACACAGACACAGACACACACATAAACACAGACACACATACACACACACACACAATTTAAAAGTAAAATAAATCTTTTTAAAAATTGTATCTTTGTGTTATTAAGAGGGAAATGGGGGGAAATGGGGATACCTTGACTGGGAAGAAAGGACAGAGGGTTATGCAGGGAGAGAGAGAGGAGAGATAAATAATGCTTAGGTGGTCAGAAAATCAGAGGAGAATGTATTGCTTCAGAAGCCTACTGAAAAATACAAATACAATATATGTATATGAGTCCATGTGCATAACTGAAGGCTATATAACAAGAAACAGTCTCAGGCAGAGGACATCTCCCTTCAAGTTGTTGAATAGGGTAGTCCAAGAGACTCTCAAAATAACACAGGTTTGTCCCAGAGCCCTTGATTGCTTCCCAGAACTTGAAGGTAAGACCCTATTGCTGAAGACAGGACATACTTCAGACACTGGATTTGGAGCAATTGAGCTGCAACTGACTTGGAAGCCTCCTCCTTGTAGACTAGCTCTCATGGTAGCAGAGGATACTATGCAAGTTGCTAAGAGAGAAAAACCAATCAATGGTCCAGCCCAGCTGTAAAGCATAACCACAGCAATGACTGGTGCAGCAAACTATCTCTATTGGTGCAGTAGTAGCACTTTTATCTTAGGAGTAATCAACAACTATCTAATTGGACTTAAGGCCAACTCAATGGAAAGAAACTCATATGTAGTACTGTAAACATATCCAAATACACATGGCTGGAGAGGTCACAGAATCTCCACAGAGAAAAGCTTATGTCTGTCACATCCCTAGACAAATGTAATTTCTTACAGGATGTTAATATGTATACTTATATTTATAGACAAGTATATCTCTCACCACTCATTAAAGAAGCTTCTTTTGCAACAGACGAAGACTATTACAGGGTTCAGGGACCACTGTAGAAGAATGTAAGAGCCAGGGGTGATGGAAGAACACATGAAAACAGAGTTTTCCATACAGCTAGGAACTTGCTTATATGAACTTCCAGCAATGGTGACAGCATGTACTGGACCCATGCAAACTGAAATCAGACAAAAACATGGCATAGAAGTGGGGAGATGGGTAAGAAGCCCAGCCTCAGCTAAAGAACTATTGGCAGTTGATCACTGAAGGGTGAAGGAGAGTTGGTCTTCTTTAAGGGAGTGACACTAGATAAACTGACCAGGCTCCAGTGGATGAACTCACACTGAAGGATATTAGGATACTGAGAGACACAAACTTGACTTAACAGACCTTAATGTATATTGCAGAATGCATGAAATCAGGTACAGGGCTATGGAGAGTGCATAAAGGGGAGGGAGTCCAAATATGATCAAGATTGTATATGAAATGCACAAAAGTTCAATAAAAATTTTGTAGTAAAATAATTTTTTCATCCAAAGCCTATACACTTGTCATATAATATCACATGAGTATCTATCTGTATTTGTACATCTATCAAGTGTGTGTGTCTACTTATTTAAGTGAGTCTTTCTGTGAGTCTCTGAGTGTGTATGTCTGTCTGTATGTGTGTCTGTATAATGGGTTTGTGGTACTAAAAATCAAATCCAGGGCCTTGCCCAACTCAGGCAAGTGCTCCACCACTAAGCTACATCTTCATCACTCTTTTTATTTACTATTTTAAACAGGATCTCATTAATTTTCCCAGGGTGGCCTTGAATTTGGGATCCTCCAGCCTCAGCTTCTCAAGTACCTGGGGTCACTGGCCTAGCCCACCTTGTGTATTCTGAAAGAATTAGTGACATTGAAATGCTAGTGAGCCTCATTTTATTTTCTTGGCACTGTGATTTCTGTCCTTGGTTTTAGAACTGGTTTAAATTGAAAGGATTTCTGAAAAACTCATTATGTAACATTAAACCACATTTCCTGTGCATAGGCAGACAATATTACAATCCTGAAATTTCATAATAGTTTCATTTCTGAATAAAATGTGTCTGATCAAAGTAACAATAAACAAAAAGACATTGAAGAAAATAGGTGTTAGGCAAAACTACGTTTTTATGTTAAAGTATTTACTATATATTGTATCATTGATTTCATACCTGGGTAATAATTTTTTCCATTTCAGTGGTATTCATATCAGGTAATGTGCTTTTGAGAAATTCAACAATATTTTCAAAATTTTCACACTCCATTATAAGTGCCTCTTGGTTGCTCAGTAGGCTGAGGGCAACCTTAAATATAACTTCAGTCCCCTGAAGAAAAATTATATCTAAAAGAAAAGATAAAATATCATGATCAAAATTATGTATCCATTATTGCAAAAGCATATTATTTGTTCTGAAAGTGTTTTATTATTGTGATAGAATTAGAAAATATGCTATAAAAGAAAACTTGTCAAAATCAGTTTTTATTTTTAAAAAATTTTAATAGCCAGGCGTGGTGGCGTATGTCTTTAGCCTTTAGTTCCAGCACTCGGGAGGCAGAGGCAGGCAGATCTCTGTGAGTTCAAGGCCAGCCTGGTCTACATAGTGAGTTCTAGGCCAGGCCAGCTGGGGCTACAAGGGAAACTCTGTCTCAAAAAGACCGAAAAAAAAAAAAAAAAAAAAAAAAAACCCTTAATATAGGCCAAGCGTGGTGGCAGACACCTTTAATCCCAGCATTCTGGGTGCAGAGGCAGGTGGATCTCTGTGAGTTCATGGCCAGCCTGGTCTACATAGTGAGTTCCAGGACAGCTGGAGCTACAGGGAGACCAAAGGCCAAAAAAAAAAATAAGTTTAATGCAACTGAAATAAATGAGCAGATGGTTGACTATTCCCTATACTTATTAAGAATCTTAAGTAAGGCTGGGAAACAAAAAACATACTATGTGTCTGTCTATGTATTATTGTTGGCAGATTTAATGGCAAGTTTAATGGATTCTAGATAAAGATGAAACATATTTATTCAATTAACATTTTGGTTTTTCTTCACAACAGAACATAGCAACAAATCAATATAACAATCAATTAGCACTATTCAAATTCTCATAATGGAAAAGTAAATGAACTAGTTAATACATAATTAAATCTTTATTCCAGTACAAAATTAAA